TATCATGTTTATCTAACGGGGACTTGATGTTAAATTTTCCGATTTTTTTCACTTGTCGTTCTGACATGGGGTTTGCTAAATCGATATGGCTCCCAGGGATGCATCGTGGTTGTTTTCCGACGACAATCTTTCCCATCGCGTTATCACCAATGATATCATGTCCGGAAACAATTTGATGCTCGATGCTGACGGATGTGAATGACTTGCTCAACTCATCGACAAGGGTCTTACACGACTCCACTTCTGTCTGTCCTCTCTGATACAACACTATCGTCTCAATGTTGTCCTTTTCCTCTACGGCTTTAATGGACGACTTTAGTGTATTTTTCATTCCATTAAAAAGACGTTTGAAATGCCGTGATGATGCCTCCATGTCTCTTTTCTCTTTTTTGAACAATGTAATCATTTCGTCGGTAATGTTCTTCTGAAGTGTGTCCAGTCGTTTATCTACCTTTCGACGCAGGTCGGAGATGCTTTGCAGTGCGATTTCCTGGTTCTGTATCATGGTTTGGAGTTGCTCATCAAAGTCCTTCACTAGTGAGTTCATACTATCTGTTCCTTTCTTCAACGCCGCCTGCATGTCTTCTATCTGCGATCCTGCTTTTATCTTCTTGCAATATTCCGTCACCTTTGGTACCTTTCCACAACTCATATGGTCTTCGATCACGCATTCGTTACAGCACAGAAGTTGGTGGTCCTCACAATACCGAACAATTTTCTCGCCGTGTTGATAACATCGAGGGGCAGACGTTTCCCTATTTAGTCGTTTGTTATGGTGTCCGGTGATATTCAGTATATCACAGTCAGTATGTATGATATCATGAAGTTTTACCTTACAATTGTCGCAGAAGTTCTCGTTCATCGTCTTGCACCAAAAACTGGCTGGGTTGTTCCGGTTACCTTTTGTCTGGCAGGGTTTGCAGTACAATGGTTCAGACGAACGTTCCCTAAGCTGGATAAGATCATGGATCAAACTATTGGTCGATAATTGCTCTGCCCATTTAGCCTTTGATTCTGCTTGATTCACAGGAGAGGTCGTCCTCCTACAGATCGGACAAGGGAAGGATGTTGTCGACGCCATCTTCCCGGACAGCTCCTTTGTAATATATGTCCCGAGACAATCCTGACAGAAGGAGTGTAGGCACGGTAAGGATTTTGGTAGTTGAAGTTGCTCAAGGCATATTGGACACTCCAACAAATGTGAGTCCAGTTCTGAAGGGAGGCTTCCTGAAGCCATTGTAAAAGTCAGAAGAGTCAACACAGATCTGAAATAGAAAAAAATAAAACTGTGATCATAGTCCAATACTAAGAGATAGACAGCTATCGAGGCCGGTTAGTAAGACATGTATTCTTTAAATGATTACTTCATAGCTAACAGTATAATGTAATCATCATATGAGGTCGTTGATGTAATCAAATAAAGCTTGTTTTTTTTTTTTTCATTAATTCTGACTTTAAACGAATTGTTTAAAGACATAGACGTGTCTTTTATGATATATGGTGCGTAATGGTGGAAGTTTCCTTTTTACAAGTTGTACCATAGTTTAAGGCTTGGAATTTTTCGAGTCAGATTTTGGCAAAAAAAAATCACTGTTATCGTTTATACAACGCGTTTTACTTATTATTTTTTTCTGAATTTTGCCTGGTGAATAATTACGTTAAAGCGGTATTCTTTATAGCTTGGGTCGATCGTCACTGATAAGTGTTATTGTGTTATGTCTGTTTATATTCATACCTTTTCCATTCAAGAAATAGTGATACAGTTGTAACATCATTTAATCAGAGGCTTACATGTGTTTTCTTATACATAATTCTGTGATATATTAATATCATATATAAGCATACTGCCCAATTGTTTGTGAGTCGAGGTGTTGTAGAAGGGGAGGCGACTCTTACATTTCCTTGTGACTCATATACCGTAAACATGAATGCACAGGCCAGCTTTCGTATGATTCCAACGATACATACTTATATGTTTTAAACGATGTTTACTCGCAGTTATATACAGTTAATCGATTCTGGACAGGCCACAGAAAACAAACGTTACCGGAGTTTTGGTTTGTATATGTCTGCCAAATCCAATGTGTGAATTCCTTGTAGTACATGGTGAACTGTAACATACACGGGTCATCATAGTTTGTTTGTATCATTGACATAGCCTGTACGTTATATTGAAGTAGTTATGCTACTCTTTGCCCGTTATACTCACCAAGGGAACTCTTATCTACACAGATAGGAAGCACAGACTCCTACAGACCAGACATTTGTTTACACCTTGAGTCCGTATATAAAACAGGAAATATGTCAAGCATTGTATAAATATCGAATGGAGAAGGTGGTATCACAATTCCGGATACTCGACGATTTTCTATGAGTTTTTATTTTATACTTTACTAAATAAAATTACATACAAGTTTCATGAACAATGCTATATCTTTAATGAAATAGAAACTTTCGACAACGAGCTATATTATTTATAGAACAAATACAAGTCTGAAGGCTCCACGATTTGTTGTTAAAAATAGATATCACATGGCGTATTGCCACGTGACATTGTTTATTGATGACATTCTGATTACTGGAGCATGCGGTGAATTCATACTGGAAAATTAAGCTCATCATGATTTGTATTTTTTGGCACTAACATAATCAACACCGTGCAAACAAATTCCATTATACGAATTGTCCAGTAGGCAATAGAGTATTGTTATAGACTTTACAAATACAATCAAATAAGAACTTTTAGATCTTAATGTATTTAGGCAAGAGTGGGAAAACTGAAGCAGTCATTTCTATATAAGAGTATGTGCGGAGGAAGTTGGGTGCGGGTAGTATAACTTTTGTATTTATTATCGGTAATTAATAATATGGATTCCTGTCTTTTAACTAACACGTGCCGATCGATATGCAAGTGTGATATGACTTGTTTTTTATCAGCTGCAGCGTTGAGAAATTGTGCCAGCCTATATCTGAATGTATTTTTTATAATTTGTCAAACTAAGTTGACCGTACTGTTTTTGAATAGGCAAAAGTATAGGAAAACTGACAATACTTTTATTATGGCGCCCCTTTAAATCTATATCAATTGAGTCATATTTCCAGCTTATTTACCTGGTCTCCACCCACTTGTTTCCAGCTCGGTTACCGGTGTTATATTGCATTCTCTACAAGTTTTGTATAAAATTGTATACGTTGTTCAGACAGGAATTTAAAGTGTAACCTGAATGGTTTGCTTTTTTACAATAAAAAAATTCTGCATATTATACAAGTAAAGGCTAAACAGGTGCAATCGTTATAATGGCCGTCGTTTCCGAGATATTTTTTGTTTTGAAACATACATCGACTCAGCGGCGATCGCCTCGATATGGGTACATGAAGCTCACATCTGTGACATCACAAGTTAAACGCTGCCTTATTAGAATATACTTGGTGGCTGCGATCGTGAGCTTTTTAGCTCGGTATATGACATATTCCGTCGTCATTTACTTGTGGAGGTACTATTTTAAGTGATACATACATATGAAGACTTTTTTTAACATTTTAATAATGGAATTTTGAGGAGGTAAATGATGTGTTGTATACATGTGTCCGAACACACATGCGGATGCTATCTAAATGAATGTGTGTATGTACATAATTCGTTAATCTAGTGCGTGTAAATATTGCACTTTTTATGATTCATTTGATCTCTAGAAAATATAATGAACCCCTATAATTAAGTCAAATTAATGTAAGCGCACCTCTTTGTTTACAATATGCGGGAGATATACGATTGAAATTGACAAAACAAAAAACAAAACAAAAACAGTACAAAAAGGTATACTCAAGATGAACAGCAACCCGTGTATTTTACCCCCAGTTTTAATACAATGTTAATAATCATGCACTATTTGATACATAAGTTGTCTTGTATAATGGCATTAAATATATAGGTATTAGGAAGGGAATACATGTCCGTTCAAGTCTCACCAATATCAGTAATTTATCAATAAACCACCTGATCAGATGTACAATGTGCATAGCATGGTCCAGCATTATTTACTTTGTTCCTGACTTTCAACTGTCGGGCGATGCAGTTGCACTGTGAATGGTGAACATTTGTAAATCGTAAACTTTGCATGTTAAAATCTTGGTATTGGACTAACCAATTTTTATTCGATTTTCGACAGTTTTGATATTGGATTATATAGAATAATAACGTATTCATTTTTACTTTTGTTCAGGGTACACGGTAAGAAAGAAAAAATGCAAACAAACCAACAAATACACATAAAATAGTTGTCAACGATGTAAATTGTGTATGGTATTATCTAAATAACAACACATGATTAAGATACATGTATATTATATTGATAAAACAGAACTATATCTATTAACAATTGGTGAAATGCAGTCGAGGAAACAGAAAATGTGAAACTGACGCAGATGATGGTGACTTTTTCTTCTGTACCTTTTCTGTAACAATTTTGTTTGTTTTAACACAGCCTGGACGTTATAATGGTTGCCGATTTTTTTTTTTTTTACCCATTTCATTATATTACTGTTAACAGGTTGTTTGATTTACTCGTTCGTCATCGGGATACAGGTATTCAAAATTTCTTGAATGATTATGACAATAACATAAAATATAATGCCTCTTATAACGCAAAACCAGAAAATGCCAAAAGATAATTTGACTCATCAATTTCATTTTTTGTAATTTGAATACAAATCTTTGACAAATAAAATCGAACTTTTCATAGGCAGATAAATTGATTCATCGATTAGGGGTTTTGTCCTCTATACAAGTATTATTGCCTGACATACGTTATGGGAGTGTGAGTTCTGTCTGAAACCAAAATAATTTAGATTTTCTAGTAGAGTAATCACTGCTGCATTACGGTTTCTGACGAAAGGGACCCAGGTTGCTTTTTTAATATTGAATTTGAGATTTAGGTATTGTGATCTGATTCAAAACATTTGTGCTCAAAATTATAACGGATTTTACGGGTTCTGGATTTGAATGAAACTAGGTTGCTTTTTGTTTTCCGTTTAGTTGCCAATATGGAGTTGCATTAACGATGCTGAGTATAATGCCTTGAGGAGTTTATGTTGAAAACACTGAAGTTGTCCATTGTCATTCATATTTACGTGTATGTAACCACCACGCCTACTCTGAGTGTGTGGTAGATAAGCCGGATATACTATTAGTGTGATGACACTTGTAACGCTCATTTCGTGTGTCGTGACTATAGAATAACTGGATCTGGATTATATAATATGTTATGAATCATTGAAAAGGCTAAACACGGGATTGGGTAACAATAGAAAAACGAATTATAAAACATTAACACGAAAAAACGCTGTGTATTTGTATTTTGTTTTTGTGGTACATTGTAAAACACCTACAATTTATCACAAGTGGCGGTAACGACATTTAAACATACAGACGTATCTTACATTTGTAGGTGTCCCCGATCGACAACCAGAGGCGTCCGGTACGAGCACTTGATGTTGGGTTTTCGTTTAAACTCTGTTTCCTGATAACCGACAAATACTGAAAACATCACTAGATAGATGACAAGAGACGCGTGCAACAAATATCTTACCCCGCCGACGTTTTACTATATGTGTATTGAACATGTCAGACTGGTATCGTTACATTATCAGTTTTTGAAATATTATTCATATATCTTTCTCGGCATTAAATTAGTATGAGCTCAATTAAACTTTGTCAGCTTTGACGTTAGTACATCATTTATGTGTCTTGTCGAAAAAATTGTACAGAAAGTGTTTTAGATACTGTATATCGGATTTGTGTCCATTGGAATACTATGTTCACAAATGATATTGGTATTTAAATAAAGGATAGCTTGTGTACACTCATTCCCCTGCTTAGCGGCACAGTGAGAAGAACTATCACAGGTATTGTTAAAACACGTGATGGACAATTATAATCTATAATTGATGTATGTAGCATGGTACGCTGAAATTTGGTATTTGATGCTGGCCACTGATAATTCATGACCTAACCCCAATAGTTTAAATAACTGTTTGAGGACTATTTACAAAAAACAGCATGTCTCATAGTCACGTTATTTCTGTATTGCAATGTATAAATTATATATTATATTACTGCGACATATCAGCCGAAACCGACAAAACATGTATAGTCTGTTTTAATTCCAAAAAGACAACGGCATTGGTACTGTAGTTATACGATCCAAAAACCTTGGATTGATAGCAGAGGTCAGTCGTGTATGTTGGGTTAGTACACGATGTACTGATAATTAAAGCCGATAGTTTGTCTGTTTTCTGACTATGGCGATAGATCGACTGTTTGTACGGTGCATTTTCACTAACTACTGACGTCAGTCCTCTGTCTGTACGGTATATACACTTAGTATTGACTACTGACGTCAGACCTCTGTCTGTACGGTACATACACCTTGTAATGACTACGGAGGGCGGTCGTCTGTCTGTACGGTACATACACATTGTTCTGACAATATCTACACAATATCATTATGATTATTTCCATCATTCACTGCATGTCAAGAAAAGTAAGCACGAGGAATCAAATCACTGTTCCGATGGACTTAATTTGTCCACAGCAAAGTTGCATCATCCTTGTCATCCTCATTGTTGTATTATCATGCGTATTATAATAAAATATTGCTATATTATTTTAGTAGGGGAACCTGATTATTTGTTGCCTTAAGAGCGAAATGGTAACGAGTGCTGATCAATGATCCTCTCATGTCTTGTCCTTAATAGCATGCTTATAGTATCTAGTGCTTGATACCAATCCATTTCGAGATAATGTCGACTTTAATTAAAGATTCTCCGTATTCAAATTGGCGAAATGCAGTGCAAGGCTATTTTAACAAACTTGAAATGTATTTTAATCCAACGATCCCTTATAATGTTATGCTCAGACAAACACATTGTTAAAATAGGTAATAAATGTTGTGTACGTGTTTATTTTTAGCATAGTGCATTGCTCAAAAGCGATGGGAAAAGCAATCTGTTAACATATAAAAGACGTTATGTCTCAATAAAGTATGTTCGCTTATTGTCATGATTTGCCAATCACGGTGAAATGAGCATACCCGTATATAGAATCATCTGCACAAGCGTCTTTATTAAACATCCGCTGACATCACACATTTCCCAAAATCAGAGATCACGACTTGTAACGTTTTCTTACATTTCCGTGTGTGTAAGATAGAGTTGTCTAGGGTAAGTAGGGGGTGTATGAAATGTCTATCCATTTCACGTGACGTGACGTCAAAATGGCTGAGCAATGACGTGACGTCAATAA